GAAAGCCCTGCTGGCTTCCTCAAAGTCTTGGAGGCCTAGGAAGGCAGCTCCAGTCCTGTAATGGCTAAACTTCCTAAATAGGACCCTCAGACTTTAAATCTTTGAGTTGGCGTAATGCTAGATTCTGGACATTGGCGGGGTGGGGGGTGATCGGGAGCAGTCATGGATTGACAGCTGTGGATTTTCTTGTAAACTACTTGGAAGAGGGAGGTTCTGTTACAACACCAAGTGTATATTCCAAGGTTCACTGCTGTTCCTGGATGGCCCTGATACAGAGACAACCTTGACACAAACACCCTGACTCTTTTACACATTTAGTGTGGAAGTCCTATATAAGCACCAGAGGGCTGAGAGCGCGAGTTCTACAACCAGGCAGTTCTGGGTATGAATGCAGCCAGGCCACATGCTATAGGAAGTTACTAAATTTCCCTGTCTTTCCCTCATGTGTAACTATGGGGACATTTATATCCACGTCACACCAAGGAGCTGTGCAATGAAAGAGAATGATATATTGAAAATGTTTCATCCAGTGCCTAGCACCTAGTACCGTACTCAGTAAATTGTGTTCATATTAGCAGCAAACATTAAGTTATTGGAAGAAGGAGAATCTGGCAGAAAGAGGAACGAGGGAAGTGAGAGGAGGCAAGAGGCAAAGCTAACTAGACAGCTTTTGTCTGTCCAGGGAGCTGGCTTTTAAATGCCTCAGGTGTGGGAGCCCAGAACTGACCCAGGGGAACACTGGTGCTCACAGGGTCCCAACTTCCCTTACAGAGAAGTCAGTTCACACTCCAAACAGAAGTGGGTTCTTAGACCTTAGGCCTGAACGGTATGGTATTCTATAGTTTGTTCTGGGATGACCTCGGCAGCATTTAGAAATATTTTTAAATGACACACAGGAAACTGTTGGGAAAGAGCATTACGGGAAACTCCCATGATGAACAGGGTACTTTCATCCTCAAACAAAATTTAACAGTTATGAATAGCAAACTACATGCACTGCCAATGGCTTAGAAAAACGGGGGGAAACCTTCACTTTCTCAGGCTGCATCCATGCAAAGCCCACTTGGTCCTTAAACTTACCAAGCACAGACGTTACCTTTACATGTAGGCTCTTATTTTTCCCTTTGTGAACTGGGAAGTTTCCCTTTTACTCTGAGAACATTCCTATCCCTTCCAAAAGATCAGGGTGTCCACAGTCCTCAGAAAGACCTAAAGACTAGGCTACTAGGGAAAGAAGGAAATACCTGAGAAATTTCAAAGAAGATTCTTCCAATAATATTAGTCAAAACATTAATCTCTCATCAGAGTATAGAGTAAGAGTGGAAGGGGAAGGCGGGGCACCCACCACAAACCTGGCACAGAAGTTCTTGACCCGAAGCCATGCATTGGTTTCCTTATACACAGCCAGCCCCACCCAAAATGTACACAAAATTGTCTGTCTGTGGCTCAACCAGTGTGGATCGGTGGTTGAGCTTCACCCTATGAACCAGGAGGTCACGGTTCAATTCCCCTGTCAGGGTTGCAGGCTCGATCCCTGGTGTGGGGCGTGCAGGAGGCACCTGATTGATGATTTTCTCTCATCATTGATGTTTCTATCTCTCTCCCTCTCCCTTCCTCTCTCTGAAATAAATAAAAATATTTTTAAAAATTGTCCGTCTGTGCTATTTTTATGGAAAGAAAAATCATAGCTTTCATCAACTGCTCAAAGAGAGTTCAGTAATTCAAGAAAGGTTAAGAACCACCAAACCAGAAACCCCAGCACCAAGAAACAACCCCCATCTGTATTATATAAATCACAGACCCACCACCATGGCTGCCCTCCCTTCCCCGCTCCCCCTGGCCGCACGCCATGACCCAGGCCCAGATGAAACAGGCCAGGCCCTTCAGGTCACTTTCTGAATAATGGATGGCTTAAAAAAAATCTTTAATGGAATCTGTGGTCAAATAATATGTTACAACAAAAATATACAGAATGTACACAATACAAAAATATTTAGAAACAAGCATTGTTGCTTGGTTTTTTTGTTTTCCACTCACTTCCTTGGGGGGTGGGGAGGGCAGAGTTCAGCGTTGGGCACTGTTTTTTAAGGCAGAGGAGTATCCGTGCTTTCCAGCCAGCCCTGGGAGCAACGTGACTGGTGCCAGGAAAGGGCTTCGGGGCACCTGGGGAACCTGCATTATTTGCAAATGAAATTGGACGCTGGGGAAAGGCTGGGCATGGTGAGCAATGACTCTCCTAATCCCCTGGGCAAGAATAGTTCTCATGGAAATTGAGAGTCCGATTACGCCTCATTAGGGAGCTTTTCCTAATTAAAAAACGAATGATTAATGGTGTCATTAAAGCGAAATTTCTCCTTTGAAGGTTTGTTTTCCTTTCCCCAGCTTCTGTGATTCCTCTTCCGTTTAACGAGTGAGTGAGTCCGTGGCTGCTGTTTAGAGTCCCCAGGTTTCAATTTCTGCATCAGGCAGATGAAAATCCGACTTTGCTCCATGGCCTGAAGGCTCACACCACCCTCACTTTTCGGCACACTGGCCAGGAGGCCAACAGTGGCTGAGGAAGGAGGGAGGACGGGGACATGCTGCTGGCAGGGTGCCGGGAGCCAGGGAACAAAGGGACCTGCTGAGGAGAAAGCCCTACACCAAAACGAAACCTTTCTCACTAGAAAATAGGCTCTGGCCCTGGGTTAGAGACCTGGGCAGTGGGAAGTGCCGGTCATCACCACCGGATGGCCCTGCTTAGAAGTGATGGCTGGGAGAGGCTGGTGAGATGGCTGTTAAGCAGACCAGAGAACTTCTGAGTTGCCCTTGGACACTCAGCGGACAGGGAGCAGCTGACACGCAGCTGGGCTGGGGGCCTACGGTGAGAATGGGGGTGTGGATGGGGGTGTGGATGAGGGGTGAGGATGGGGCAATCTGAGCCGCTCCAGGCCTCAGAGGACAGACATACAGGATGGTGGGTGGGACTTCCACCTTGGGCAGTCCTCCCGAACAGCTTCCATCCTAAGCCCCAGGGAACTGGATGCCTCTCGGAGAGCTTTCTAGAGAGAGGAAGGCCCCTCTCCAAGCCACACCAGACAAAGGCAGGGGGAGGGGTAGCTCTCTGCTCCCTCAAACTACAACCCAGAACCTCCAGGGGCCAGGAGAGGGTCTGGCAGAGAGCCCTGCTCCCAGCCCCAGGCACGCAGGGTTAGCAGTAGCCACGGCCCCCTCTGCCATCCTTACCCATCTCCTCACCCCCCGCCCCAGCTCAGTCTCCTCTCCCAAAGAGCTGACTCTTCCAGCTACACCTTTCCCTCCGGAGGCAGAGAATGGCTGGCAGGGCACAGAGAAGGTGCCTCAGGGCAACGCAGCCCAGCGCAGACCTGGCCCACCCACCTCAGCGGGCAGAGTTGGCGCAAGTGCAGCCTGATGGACAGTCTAGTTAGCAGTGGGCAAAGGCGGGGAAGGGCTGGGTGTGGGGAACTGGGCAGAAAGACCTTGCCCATTCATGTGTGATGACTGGGGAGGGAAGCCACTGTGGCCCAAGATGCCCAAATGTCCGGCCCGGCTGACTTCGAACCTCGGTGTGGCTCTCATGGGCAAGTGGCTGGCAGAGGCAGTCCCTACACTCCTGCCCTTGTTCCTGCATGAACCCAACCCTGGGTTCTTCCTCCTTCGGGGCTGTCAGTGGTTGGGAGTTGCAAGAGCGGTATAAAGGGAATGCCATTTTGTCAAAAGCCACCCTCCCACCCTCCCTGGGGCCTGCACCAGCTCCCGCCAGGAGGCCATTCCCTTGTGAAATGGGCGTGGGGATGGACTCGAACACCTCCCGGCTCCCTCCTCGCTCTGAGAACCCGAGCTACCGGCTGCCTCACCTCTGACACGCATCCACACCCCAACAGTTCTTCTCTAGAAGCAGGCCTCCACCTAAACTGGAATTCCTTTTGCTGCAACCTCCCGCCCCCCTGAACTCAAAACTCACGCGGCCTCCATATTCCTGCCCAGCCTCTGTTGCACCCCAAAACCCCTCCTCTCCAAAGGGAGACAGGACAGAATCTTTTCAGCATGAAGGCCACTCCAGAGGGAACCAGAGCAGGAGCTGGCAAAGGCGAGGAAACCTCAGCATCCTGAGGGGCCGCCCTCCCACCAGGGACCACTCTCCCACCGTCAGCGATTCCCAGGGAGACGCCTGGAAGGGACGGGGAGTGGAAAAGAAGAGGCAGGCTTTGTTAAAAGCCAGGGTCCTCAGGAACCACAGTAGCCCACCTCTCAGCCCTTCCTTCCTCTCACGCAGACGCCTCCACAGGCACCCACTGCCCCTCGCAGCCTTCCCCTGCGGATTCCACTCGCCTCACACTGTTTGTCCCACGGGCATCTCCACCCACCAAACCATGTGCTCACCATCAGAACAGTCTCCACAACCAAAGGAGAGGCACGATGGAGGGGCAGGGCAATGGGGGGGCAGGGCAGGGCCCTAAAGACAAGGCAGGGCACGGGACGGGGTGTGGGCCCTGGCGAGAGAGGCCAGCATTTGGGGAGAGAGGGAGGGAGAAGTTCAAAGCAGGGCCTTCCCCAAGGGGGAATGTGGGATGAATTCCCTCTTGCTGGAGTTCCTCTTGCTGGGTACCCCGTGGCAAGAGCAGGGAGTTACAGAAGCTCCCTCCTCTGCCCCCCGCAGGTGTTAGAGGCCACACCCCAGTGCCCACCGACAGGCACAGGAAGGCACCTGGGGCTCCCCGGGCCTAGTCCGCATGTCCGGCACCAGGCCCTCCCCCACTCCCAGAGCTCCAGAGGGGACACTTCCTGGCCTGCCATTATCTCTGGGCTGGACAAGGGCCTGCCTGGCTACTGCCCCCTCAGGCCTTCCTTACACTCTATGGCAGGGGTGGGGAATGTCCGGCCCGAGGGCCATATAAGGCCTGGGAAAACATTTGGTCTGGCCCTGCCAAGGCATTACAGGTGAGTTAAATGTTTGACCAAATCTAGCAGGCTGATGTTTAAGTTGATGATTTTGTGTGGCCCGAGAATGATGTTATAAATACCCAAATGGCCGTTGGCAGTAAGAAGGTTCCCCACCCCTGCTCTATGGTCTCGCAGGGTGGAGGATGAGGCTGCTCTCAGCCCACCCAAAAGGGACAGCCACTCTCAGCCTCCCCAGGCCTTTGCTGGCCCGATGTCTTTGGAAGAGTCTAGAAAAACAACAGTAGCCAATCCAACTCCCCCAGCAGGTGCCTTTCGGAACAGAGCCTCCACTGTCTGCCCAGCGTCTCTCGTCCTCTCCTCCCGGCCTCCCTGAGCTGGTGATGAGAAAACAGAATCCAGATGCTCCTTTCTGATGCCGCTTCTCCCTGCCCTCCCCGACTTCTGGTCCTCCAGCTGTCAGGGGGGCGGGGGCAGCTTTAGGTCCAGCAGGGTGTAGGCAAAGATATTCCAGAAGACAGCAAACAGCACAAAGATGGTGTACATGGCCACAAAGATCCACCACAGCGACTGGTCCTGCAGCCTCTGCTCATAGTTCCTCAGGACCACCACGCCCAGCGTGATGCCCACGGCCACGCCACCCAAGTGTGCCACGAAGCTCGGGTGAGGGCACGGGGGATAGGCCGACGGGTGGAACCGGAGCCACACGGCCCGCCCAAACTCCATGCTCACTGCAAGGGGAGGAAGCACAGAGAAGTCACGGGAGGCCCCTGGGCAGGGGCTGAGGGAGAGGCCTTGCAAGCCACCCACCCAGCCACCCACTCCACCAGCCACCCGTTAATCCACTCGCCACAGACCAAGCTCTGTTTGTTCTGCGCACTGGGGACACGGTAGTGAAGCAGACAGACAAGCCTTTGTTCTCCCAAAGCTTATAGGACCTGGGGCAACCCACCGGCATTACATACACAAGATCAGTTCAGTAAGAGGAACTCTATGGGAAACAAATATAAGTGATTTAAAGTCAACGCTGGGTGTAAGGAGGGGGATTCTTTAGTTTGGAGAATCAGGCAAGATCTCCCTAAAGAGGTGATGTTTGCTCGGCCAGCGTGGCTCAGTGGTTGAGCGTCGACCTATGAACCAGGAATTCACGGTTCGACTCCTGGTCAGGGTATATGCCTGGGTTGTGGGCTCGATCCCGTGTGGGGTGTGCAGGAGGCAGCCTATCATTGATTCTCTCTCATCACTGATGTTTTTATCTCTCTCTCCCTCTCTGAAATCAATTAAAAAATATTTTTTTGTCCTAGTTGGTTTTGCTCAGTGGATAGAGCGTTGGCCTGTGGACTGAAGGGTCCTGGGGTTGATTCTGGTCAAGGGCATGTACCTCGGTTGCAGGCTCCCGGCCCTGATTGGGGGAGGCAACCAATCGATGTGTCTCTCTCACATCAGTGTTTCTCTCTCTCTCCCTTCCACTTTCTCTAAAAAAATAAAATAAAAAAAAATAAAATAATCGATTTTTAAAAGAGGTGACATTTGAGCTGAGATGTGACTATCAAGTGAAGAGCATTTCAGGCAGAGGGGACAGCTCATGCAGAAGCCCACAGGCCCTCGAATCCCTGCTGTCACATGTCCCGGAGGCTCAGCCTCCTCATCTGTATAAAGTCTCAGCCTCCGTGTACCAGGCTACACTGCCAGGACATGAATAACAAGCAAGATGTGCTAGCACTTTACAGTTTATAAAGTGTTTGTATGTATCATTTCAAAACTCTCAGAACCAGTGCGTATGTGCTTGGAAGGAAGAGATGAAGGGGGAGAAGGGCAAAGAAGGAATGGAAATAAATGGTCCCAGCAAAGTGCTGGAGTTTCTAACAGATTCTAAAATGCCCCCACCCACTCTCCAACCCATCCTTCTTGCATGAACTTCTTGGATTGGCCAATCCAATGGGGATGTACTCTCTTGAAATAATAGTTGCTGGGAAATTGCCGTTTTGTTAACCTACCATTCAAGGACACTTAGGGCAGGTACTCTTACCCCATTTTACAGATGAGGAAACCAAGGCGAATTTGACAGATGGAAAGAAAACCCTGTGAAGGGAACTGTGTCCGTGTTCAGTTACCATTTAATGCACCAGTGGGCCTCTCTCCACCCTAACCACTCCAGGGGTGCCAGCACCTCCCGGGATTTCCTCAGCTTCTGGCACAGGCCCTGCAACTCCAAGGATGGCCGACAGATGGCGGAAAAGGTGCAGCCAGGGACAGGCACTGTGTCCTCCCCACTCCTCCCCAGGCCCTGGGGCATCCTCCTGCCTTTGCTTAGCAGGCCCTGGGTTCCACAGGGGAGGTTTGAAAGACATGGTCCCCCACTCTAAAATAGCATTTTAGTTTTTATGATCCTTAGAGTTTTTGTTTTTTATTTTTTAAAATATATTTTTATTGATTTCAGAGAGGGAGAAAGAGATAGAAACATGAATCATTGATCTGCTGCCTCCTGCATGCCCCACAATGGGATCAAGCCCACAACCCAGGCATGTGCCCTTGACCGGAATCGAACCTGAGACCCTTCAGTCCGCAGGCTGACACTCTATACGTTGAGCCACACCAGCTAGAGCTGTTATTTTTTAAACAGTAAGAGTCATGCTTCTCTTCCCTTCCTTGCAAATAGACAAGCTCAGAGTCTGAGCAGACAGGGAAGCTGTGCTCACTCCTGCCCTCTCCCCTCCACTTCCCCCATTGCCCTGTCTCAGAGTCTGCGCTTTAGGGCTGGGAATTCCTCTCTGGAAGTGGAGATCCTCCAACTGGAAACTGAGACCAGAGAGTCCTGAAAGACATGAATCAAGTGGAGCCCACACAGGCCCCTCCTCGCCATGACTTTTCTGGCCCAGTCTTCCTCTTCCCCACCAGGTAGGTGGCTGACCCAGGCAGAGACCGTCCAGGTGCTCCTGCCCAGCCTGGCTGAAGTGTGGGAATTAGAAAAGGCACAGGCTGGCTCTGAATTCGGCTCTCCCACCTCTGGCTGGGGGCCCAGGGCAAGGAACTCTGAGCCTCGGGTGCACCCCTGAAAATTAAGCCTAAAAATATCCTCTTCACCGCTGTGGTCTGAGGACTGAGTGAGAGACTCTGTGTTCCTGTTGTTTTCTTCGTATCCCCTTCACTCTGTTCAGACTATTCTCTCTTTCTATCTCAGAATGAGCCTCTTGGCCTCATCCCGCGACACGCAACTCCTCCACACTGCAGCCTGACTGTCTCCTAAACCTGAATCTGTCAGTAAATCTTGTTTAAAACCTTCCAGTGGTTTCCTAGTGTATGAGGGTGAGATGGAAGGAAGGATCTTCCTTTTTGCATTTAAAGCCCTTCATGAGCTGACTCCTATTTGCTCTTATCACAATCACACAGTCTCAAACCTCAAAGGTCGAATTTGCAACCGACTTGCAGGCCATGACCCTTCATGGCCTGTGTCTTGGTTCAGGCTGCACTTTTGCCTGCAATGCCCGCTCACACCTTGGCTACACGGTGACCACCTGCCTCTCTTGGTCAACATGACCCCTGCAGGTAGAACGGACCTCTCCTGACTAGGGCCCACAGCCTGTTCCTGGCGGTTCATGGGTTAGTTACAGTTGGTAAACCTGCTAAAACTACTAGTTTTAGTGCAAATGCACACACACATACGTGCGTTTTTCCAGGGATGGGGTCTCTAGCTTCCAACAGGAGATCTCAAAGGATCGACTCCGTGACCCAAAAGGTTATTAAGAAGTTATTTTGCTTGACCTGGATGCCGGTCATTGAGCTGGACACTTACTGTGTGCACTTTTCCGTTTGCATATCACATGTCAATAAAAAGATTAAGAAAGGTTAAGAAATAGCAGAGTGGGCCAGACTTCTCTCATAACATTCCACTTTGTTGCACATTATTGACAGCCCCTCCCCTCTTTTTCTTGACCATAAGCCCCTGAAGGGCAGGGACTGTGCTGTCTTTAGATCCCCAGGCCCAGGCCAGGGCTCCCTCCCCCCAGCTGGCCGGTCAGTACTTACTACAGATCAAGGCCACACCCATCCGCAGCAGCTTGAATTGGCACTTCATGCCTGACCAGTTCTAGGAAAAGAGGAGAGAGTTCCATTAGTTCCAGATTGGACCTCTCCTCTGCAGAAGTGTCTCGCTTAAGAAAACCTGACACTTAAAAAAGTCATCTCCGCTCTGTCGGCGTGGCCCAGTGGTTGAGCATAGACCTATGAACCAGGCGGTCACGGTTCGAGTCCCAGTCAGGACACATGCCCAGGTTTCCAGCTCCGTCCCCAACTGGGGGCGTGCAGGAGGCAGCCAATCAATGATTCTCTCTCTTCATTGATGTTTCTCTCCCTCTCCCTTCCTCTCTGAAATCAATAAAAATACATTTAAACCTAAAGAAATAAATAAGTCATCTCCATTAAGTCCTGAGTGAGGGGTTGTGGCTTAGTCACAGATCACACCAGCGTGGCTTTAAGACTTTAGACAATGGTAAGCGTATTACTGTCGGAAAGCTCTGGAGCCGCACCTGCAGGGCATAGACAGAGGGAACTGAGAGTCTCTGTCTCCTCCAGGCACACAGACACCACCTGAGAGTTGCATTAATTGCTGGGTCTGTGGGAGGCAGTTAGACAGACGTGAGCAGAGCAAGGACAGATATGGGCCAGGTACAGAAGGTCACCAGAGTGGAAAGTCCCAGTGCCTAGCAATGGACAACCAATTGTAGGGTGGGACCTGCTCCCAGGATGACTTTTCTTCCCCTACCATATCCATGGTCACGAGGTTTGGAACCCCTGACCTTTCCTCCCTAGAGATAACATCTAGGCCTCAGTTGTATTTCAACTCCAGGCCCAGATAAGCAACCAAACCAGCCATGGCTGGCTGACTGGTGTCGGGACCAGCTGCACTGAATAATGACCCCCTGTCCTGGTGCCGGCCAATCAATCAGTGGGGACCACAACCCTGAAAGGACCCGCCTGGAAAACTGCTGAATGTTCTATTAGGATATTTCCCTGGAACCTCCCCTAAAATCTCCGCCCTTAAACCCTGAGGAGGGAGGACCCAGCGTGCTCTCCCTCCAAGGAGCATGCAGGTGCCTTTCCCTTTCCCCTCCCCCTCCCTTCCCCAGACACAGCACAGAACCATTAGCTTCCTCACTCCCAAGCTCCAAGGGCCCTTCCTTTACCTCCATAACTCATATCCTAAGCCCAGTGCTTTCAGAAATTACTTTTCTCCCTCTGTAATTTACCCAGTACATGTTCTCTTACAGTTTGGGTCTTGGCTCTGAATTCTTTCCTAGCCAGAACCCAAGTACCGAGGTTGCTGAACCCAGGTTTGGTCTGACCCCACCGGTCATACAACTGGTGCCGCTCCTGCTGCCTACAACAAACAGGTTCAGGGTTGCAAAGGGATGCAGGAGAGCAATCCAAGCAAAGTCCAAGCAGAACCATCAAGATGATCAGAGAACTAAAAATCCTGCATATGAGGAAGGATTGAAGAGAAGACTCAGAGGTTAAGTTCACTGTTGTCAGGTGTCAAGTGAGTCAACACAAGGAAAGGGCACATTCAGTGTAACTTGCAAGCAGAAGACTCAATGGATGAAAACTTTGGTGAGATTTTTTTTTTAGCAAGAGAAAATAACCAAATTTGAAACATACATATGAACGGGAACCCAGCATACATGAGAGTCAGAGACCCCCACATGCACGAGAGGTTCAAAGATAGGAAAGGCACATGGGTGTGTAAGATGTCCTGAGCCAGGATGAGGTCAGGTGGCTGGGGGGCTTCAAAGGGTCATTGCAGGTGATAAATAGAAGTGTGTCCTGCCCTATAGATAGATCAAAGGAGGTCATCTCTGATGATCTCTTATTATGGGCAAGGTCCCTAATTCAAGTTCTTCTAGGTAGTTAAGGGAGGAGCATAAGTTTCTCTTCAGCCCGCAGCTAAAGTTGCCTTTAGCTCAAAGCAATCTGCATACGTCAGAGGCCCATCTTGGGGTGACTCATTCTGAACCCCTATAGTTCCCTCCTCTGAGACTTCCCTGGAAGTTTCACATTCCAGAAGTTGAAAAAGAGGAGAGAGTTCCATTAGTTCCAGATCAGACCACTCCTCTGCTGTGTTCTGAGGACCGAGTGAGAGACCGAGTGGTCCCTTTGCTCTCTTCCTACCCCAGCGTAGACTGTTCTGTATCTCATTAAACCGGTCTCAGTCTGGAGGAGGTAGTTCCGTTAAACCGTTGTGTCCCATTTCAGGAGGCGGTGATGCAGTGGGCTCCCAAAGGTAGGCCTACAGTGCAAGCTATCAGTTGTTTAATGAGAGGCATCTCTATGGAAGCAGAAGAAAAGCAAAGGTTAGTGACTGGAGCAGACTATAACCTCTGTTTCTGAGTAAGGAGGCAGGCAGTCAAGAAGACTTCTAGATGTCCGTCTCCCATCATCTTCAGATGGAGTGAAGGCAGGCAGTGACAGTCGGATCGATTCACACAAAGATTCTTTTTTAGCTCAGGGTAAGTTTCCATTTCTACTAAGCAGAGCTGCCCAAAGATGGATTGATCCATCTTGGGGGATGGTGAGTTTCCCATCATTGAGGGGTTCACACGGGGCTTCCCATCACTTGAAGGGGATGCTCTAGCATTGGGCATCGGGAGGAGGTGGGCCAGACGGCCTTCAAACAAATCCCTTTCCCCTGAGAATCTCCGAACACGCCGAACCTCTACAGGCGACGAACGGAGTACAATTATTCACCTTACAAAAGGATTTTTCACTTTACAAAAGACTTCGCCACAGGGTTCCTGTGAGGGGCACTCCTGCGGTGCATTCAAAGCTCTACTCCATTTACCAAAGCGTGACGTGCAGACACAGAGAGGAGCCGGGGTCTTGGGGAACACATCAGACCGAGGGAAGGAGGCCCTGGCTACAGCCAGGGGCTTCTGTTCCCTCCCCACCCACTCTGCCTCCTTTGCGGCCTGGCCCAGGCCCAGCTGAGGGGCACGTCTCGCACTCCTTTGACAGTGGGGGACACGTGTTAAACTTCACAGAGGCCCTGAACACTGGCACATACAATAGTGTCTATGGGAGCTTCAGGGGAGTAAGCGGGATGCAGGGAAGCTGCCAAAAAGAGGGAGAAATCCCTGGGCATTGGGCTTCTTGCCCATCTCCCCCTTACCCCCCCTTATTCCTCACTGACCGGCAAGCCCTGCTTCACAAAAGGCAAGACGGGCAACACATGGCCCCTCTTTCGGTGGGGAAAGTCTAACCTTCGCTCACTGACAGGTTCTATGCTAAGAAGCAGATGGCAGGACAACATTGTCCCCTCCCCAGGAGACAGGGAACCAAATGAATGGGTGCCCTCCACTGACCTGGCAACCCGTTTGGAACTAGCTCAGTTAGCTGATGCTGGGCAGCCAGCCTTGGGAGTCACCTGATGGACCATCTTCTCCTAAATGGTACACCCGCTGCCAAGCTGCCAACAAATGGCCTGCGACAGGGAGCTCACCACCCCCTGGGCAGCCTGTGAACTAATCACTGAAAAGCTCCTCCTGCTACTGTCCGGCCAGGCTTTGCCTCTCTGTGATAACCATCCACCCAGGGTCTTAATTCTCCCTTAAAAGTGACACCATGTTCACAGCAGTATTATTCACAACAGCCAAGTGTCCATCAACAGATAAATGGAGAAACAAAATGTGGTCTATCCATCCAAGTGGAGAATTATTCAGTCTTAAAAAGGGAGAAAATTCTGATACATACTATAAACTTCAATGGACAGTGAGCAGATTATGCTAAATGAAAGGAGCCAGTCACAAAAAGACAAATATTGTATGATTCCACTTATGTGAGGCACTTAGAATAGCCAAATTCATAGAAACAGAAAGTAGAATAATGGTTGCCACGGGCTGGGAGGAGGGAAGAATGGGGAGTGTTTTATGGTTATAGGGCAGGGGTCCTCAAACTACGGCCCGCGGGCCACATGCAAATACAAATATTGTATTTGTTCCCGTTTTGTTTTTTTACTTCAAAATAAGATATGTGCAGTGTGCATAGGAATTTGTTCATAGTTTTTTTTTAAACTATAGTCCGGCCCTCCAACCGTCTGTGAACTGACAGTGAACTGGCCCCCTGTTTAAAAAGTTTGAGGACCCCTGTTATAGAGTATCAGTTTTGCAAGATGAAAAGAGTTTTGTGGATGGATGGTGGTGATGGTTGCACAATGACGTGAATGTACTTAGCACCACTGAATGCACACTTAAAAATGGTTAAGATGGTACATTATAATTTATGTATATTTACCACAATTAAAAACAAAAGTGAGCCCAACTGGTGTGGCTCAGTAGTTGAGCTTCGACCCATGAACCAGGAGGTCAAGGTTCGATTCCTGGTCAGGGCACATGACCTGGTTGTGGGCTCAATCCCCAGTAGGGGGCGTGCAAGAGGCAGCTGATCAATGATTCTCATCACTGATGTTTCTATATCTCTCTCCCTATCCCTTCCTCTCTGAAATCAATAAAAATATGTTTAAAAACACCACAAAATAAAACAAAAGTGATACAGAACACTTCTAGCATCGCTTTTCCTTATAAAAACCTCTGAATATTTTACCTGAACACAGTGTCTCTTTCACTGAGTTCTGGGTGATAACGTCAAGCAAAGTAAGTCTAGTATTGGCTGCTCTCTCTGCCTGCTGAGGTCCATGCCCCATCTCACCATCTGGGATCTGTCTTAGGAAGCACCATTCATATTCTGGGTCTGGGAAGACCATGCATGGGGGGAGGGGTGGCTCAGAACTCCTTTTTTGCTAGCTTCCCTCATTTGTAAGTTTGCAAAAACAGTAACCATAGTGCCCATGTCAATTACCAACCTCACTGGGTTGCTGTGAAGGTGAAATGAGTTGACACATATAAAGCACAAAAAACATGCCTGGCACATAGTACACGCCACTGCCTGATACTAGTATCTAGATCTGAGGCAAAGATGGCGAGTTTGCCCTGCACAATGGCATGAAAACTTCTGAACCCCAATGACCTTAAGTGGAGAGCCCGGGAGCCCTGGTTTTGGTACAGTGCTCCCCAGGCCAGCCTCATGTACAAAACCTGC